GGTTGGGTTACTTCTCCAAACATTTAACAGCTGTAAATACAATTTAAACACACAGGTATATGATGTTTCTTTTCCTGGCAGGAATTACATACAGTTGGTCACATAATTCACAAAAATGACATCAGGTCTCTCTGCAATCAGAAATGGTTACTTGTGCATCTCGCGGAAGGCAAATGCAGTGATCAATTCAGGGCTATTGATTTCTTAGAGTTGGCTAGAAGAACCCTGTCTAGGAGTAAGTTAAAGGTTCCCCTCGCGCATAGGTGCTAGTCGTTCCCGACTCTAGGGGGCGGTTCTCATCTCTGTATCAAAGCCAAAGAGCCAGCACTGCCAAAGACGTCTCCGTGGTCATGTGGCCGGCATGACTCAACGCCCGAAGGCGCACGGAACGCTGTTCCCTTCCCACTAAAAGTGGCTCCTATTTTTCTACTTGCATTTTTTACCTGCTTTCAAGGTTGGCAGAAGCTGGGACGAGTCACGGGAGCTCACTCCGTTACGCGGCGCTTAAGGATCCGAACTGCCGACTTTTGTGATAGACAATTCTCAGCATCTTAGCCACTGAGCCACCGCATCTAGAAGTAATCCCCCTCAAAATGGGCTTGTGGCTCCGCTATCTGAACACTACTCGGTTGGTAAGTTGATTGGAGAAAGTCCCCTCTTGATTAGCATCTATGGGTTTGAAAGCTACAATTTTCGTTTTGAGTCTAAATATCTGTTATCTTGCTTAATTCTGTCTTCTTTCACTATATAACACAGCGCTGTGTGTGAGCTTTATAGGAGAATGCTTTTGACTCGCCTAGCATCTATGCAAAGGTTTGGGTGTACCTAGGAGCATGGGTGTGGATGTATGCACACACAAATGGACGCATTCCCATTCCAACGAAATATAAATTCCCCTTGACCAATCCAATTTCCCAGGAAATCAATGCGTCTTAACATGAGCTAATATTTATGAAATTGAATTTTGCCAGTCAACTAATGCAGTCCTATTCTACTTTATGCATTTTTATTAAACTAATGCATTTTAAATTTAACTGTCATATTAATGGCAACGGGCTCCTGATAGTTACAGTGTAAAATAATATATATTTGGAGGAATCGATACCAGGCCAAGCAGAAGGGGGTTTGTGCTTTGTGAGACAGATATGACAAATTCATGGAGCTACTTAATTTGCTGCTTATGTACATTAGCTGGTAGGTTTGTTTACTGATAATGATTTTGTTTTTCCATTTTAAAGAAAACATATATTAAAATGTAAAAAGACGAAAGCTGAATTTGCAGGTAGGAAAGCCAGAGATGGTGTGACTGATTGAGGTAGCTATTAGTGATTAAGGATCGACCTCCACCTGCATCCCATCTACACGCTGATCCTTTTTAATCCACGCTGTCACCTATCTTAATAGAATAACAGAGTGGAAGGAACCTTGGAGGTCTTCTAGTCCAACCCCCTGCCTAGGTGGTGAAACCCTACATCACTCCAGACAAATGGCTATCCAACATCTTCTTAAAGATTTCCAGTATTGGAGCATTCACAACTTCTGGAGGCAAGTCGTTCCACCGATTAATTGTTCTGTCAGGAAATTTCTCCTTAGTTCTAGGTTGCGTCTCTCCTTGATTAGTTTCCACCCATTGCTTCTTGTTCTGCCTTCAGGTGCCTTGGAGAATAGCTTGACTCCCTCTTCTTTGGGGCAACCCCTGAGATATTGNAAAAATGTTCAATAAAAAAATATATTCCACGGGTGAAAATGGATCAAGTTCACGGCCATTTCACCACACCCTAAAAATGTTGAAAAATTGTGTCCCATCCTAATGAGTCCTCAACTTGCGATGGCCGTAATTCTGAGCTCAATTACTTGAGGGGCTTTCACAGAGAAGAGGTGGGGGGTGTCAACCTATTCTCCAAAGATCCAGAAGGCAGGATGAGAAGCCATGGATGGAATCTGATCAAGGAGAGAAGCAACCTAGAACTGAGGAGAAAATTCCCCACAAACAATCAGAGGAACTACTTGTGATCAGAATTTGTAGGTGCTCCAACACTGGAGATTTTTAGGAAGAGACTAGACAGCCATTTGTCAGAGACGGTAGGGTCTCCTGCTTGAGCAGTTGGGGGCTGGACTAGATGACCTCCAAGGTCCCTCCCAGCCCTATGATCCTATGTTCAGCCTCTCTCAAGAGATCTCCAACTTCAGCCAGGATTCTGAACTGAAGTTGTGATCCGATCCATGAAGCCAGATGCAAACCGTGTCTGCAGATGTGGTCAACCCCTCCTGCTTGTAAAATGAATAGTACGTACAACACCCCACCCACTTGGGGAACAGCTTCTGCCTGGTGTAACTTTTCATCTAGGGTTGGTGCACGGGGCAAAAGATGTTGTTAATCATACTAGTAAAAATCTGGCAGGCTGGAATTTTCAATTGGAAAATTTATTGGGGGGGGGGGGAGAGAAAGATGCCCCATATTCTAATCATAGAAAGCATCTGTAGGCAGAAAAAGAACAGAAGTTTGATCTGGTGGTTAAAGCACCTGGCTAGAAAGTGGGAGACGGTGAGTTCTAGTCCTGGGTTACCCCGGTCGGTGATTTTGGGCTAATCACCAGGAGACGGTGAGTTCTATAGCAGTAGACTTATATACCGCTTCATAGGCCTTTCAGGCCTCTCTAAGCGGTTTACAGAGAGTCAGCATATTGCCCCCAACAATCTGGGTCCTCATTTTACCCACCTCGGAAGGATGGAAGGCTGAGTCAACCTTGAGCCTGGTGGGATTTGAACCGCTGACCTGCTGATCTAGCAGTAGCCTGCAGTGCTGCATTTAACCACTGCGCCACCTTGGAGTTCTAGCTCCATCTTAGGCACATAAGCCAGGTTGTATGGAAAGCAGGAAGAGGAAAATGTGTTGGATATGTTCACCACGGTGAGTTATTTGTAAAATACTACTAATAATAATAAATGTGGGACACAAATAAACAAGCAAAATAATAAAATAATAACATCCAACCTTATAAAATAGACACGCAACAATTCAATTTGTCCTGGGTATTTTCTCCACAATATCAACTCTGGTTGTCTTTAGTTTCAAAGCTATTTGACAAATTTCCATCCAACTTTCAACAAGGCACATCACTAAACCAGCATTATTACAATAGAACAAATCTTGCAAGGACGACATTGTGTTTGGCCGAGGAAACCGACATCATCAGACTGACTTCACCGCTGAGCAGACTTTTGGCTAATTTTGGAAGCCAAGCATCTAAAATCACTTTTGAGGGCCGCCGAAAAGACTATTATTACCCAAGCACCGTTAGCAATTTGACGTTAAATCAAATGAGGATTACACCTTGCAAAGAATCCAACCACGTGTTGGTCCTTTACATCTGCCGTGCCATTTCAGCCAGTTCTTCCGATTTTGGGGGACATTACCCTACGCCCAAGGGTGGATCAGTGGCTAAGACGCTGAGCTTGTCGATCAGAAAGATCGGTAGTTGACAGTTCAAATCCCTAGCGCCGCGTAATGGAGTGAGCTCCCGTTCCTTGTCCCAGCTTCTGCCAACCTAGCAGTTCGAAAGCAGGTAAAAAATTCAAGTAGAAAAATAGGAACCACCTTTGGTGGGAAGGGAACGGCGTTCCGTGCGCCTTCGGCGTTTAGTCATGCCGGCCACAAGACCACGGAAATGTCTTCGGACAGTGCTGGCTCTTCGGCTTTGAAACAGGAATGAGCACCGCCCCCTAGAGTCGGGAACGACTAGCACATATGTGCGAGGGGAACCTTTACCTTACCCTACACCCATTCCCTTTCAAACCAAGACCTTCAACCTGAGAATAAATGGATTCAAACAACACACAATATCCATGTTAACAAATTATAATTGTCTGCAATCACCTAACATCCTATCCAAATCAATAATAGGCTGGATGGCTTGAAGGGATGCCAGGCTCCCGCAGTATTGCCACAAATATTAAACCCAAACAAGCCACTGATTTTACACAATCAAAATTTGACGCTAAACAACGAGCTGAACGTTGCTAGTTTTAACACATGTTATCTGTCAAGGTGGCGCTTTTTTTCCCCCAAGCCACTACATCAGCGCTATGCAACGCACCCCTTAAAAAAATAAACAATGATATGCCTACACTTATACGCATATATGCTGCAATTTTGAAACTTCTAAACCCAAGTTTGCACACACACACACACACACACACCTTGGAATATTGTTTCGCAACACCCCCCAAATCCTCCCGCTGATCTAGAAAGAAGCAGCTTTTCACGGGATTATTTTCTGGAAAAGAGGAGAGCGGAGCAGAAAAGGACGGTCTTCTACCTGTGTGGGAATTTGATCCTTGTTTCTCAGGTGTGTCACTTTGGCCAAATCTATACTCAAACCCGAAGCTCGCCAGACCGGCTTTCCCTTACCGCGGCTTCCGATACCGTGTCTGAAACTCCAATTTTAACACTGTCTTTGCTTCTGATCAACCAATCTCATTGTACTTGTGTTGGGCGCAGAAAACAAAGAAGTATTATTTCTTTTAGTCATTAAACCTGAAACTCAGCCAAGTGAACGTTTGAGGATGTGTCACAAATACCACTGAGTGGTGCTAATGGTTGATACGGGTTGCTGCCAGCGTCCCTAGGTATCAACCAAGTATCTTCTTAAAATATATGATGTTCCCAGTAGTGTAGTTTTATTATTATTATTGTTGTTATTGTTGATTATCATTATGATTTCTTTTATTCATTAAGCATGAAGCTCAGTCAAGTGAATATTTAAAGATACGTCACAGATTTCACTGACTGGTGTTAATGGTGATACAGGTCCTAGGTATTATTATTATTATTATTCGCAACAACAGAATTGTATCCCAGCGGCCAGTTGTTTCGCCGGATTTGGCATTGATTACTAGTCGGGCCCCACCCAGGGGCCTAGGATGTCATAATGTATTTTCGTAATATGCGTGCAGATTATTATTATTATTATTGGTTAATCTTTGGTGAGATTCACAGCCTTTGGGGCTGGTTGGTAGCTCAACAGCTCGAGTCCCAACCAAGGATCTAGAAACTGTTAAGGTAACGTCCGAGGATATAAGCTGTTCCAAGTAGGGTGGTTTTTTGTAGAGTCAGAATGTTCAATTCCGATAAATTTAGAATTTCCAAATAGCGAGGTAGCCCTTTAGGTATTGCTCCAATTACAATTGGGGCAACACATTATTATTATTATTATTATTATTATTGTTGTTGTTGTTGTTGTTGTTGAATAAAGTATAATGATAATGATAATAATAATATCTAGGATGCTGGCAGCAACCAGTATCAACCATTAGCACCAGTCAATTATTATATACTTTATTCATTGAACATGAAACTCAGTCAACTGAACATTCAAAAATGCATCACAAATACCATTGACTGGTGCTAATGGTTGATACGGGTTTCTACTACTATTATACTTTATTCATTAAACATGAAACTCAGCCAACTGAACATTTAAAAATACATCATCATCATCATCATCATCAACCAGGGCATCCTCAACCCCGAGTGCCTTCCAATCACTTCGCAAACCTCTGCGTTTCAGGGGCTCCCCCAAAAGTCCCAGGGCTGCTGCATTCACACAACATCCTTAACCCCCTTGTCTTAATTCTACCCCCACCCCTTTTCCTCTGGGTTCCCACGAGACCCAGTGCCGTAAAAACCACCCAGGCTAGAGCGCTCAACAAACCCACGGAGGAGATGATTAAACCCGCTTTCAAGATGAAGCCCCCCTCGGCTTGTTCTGACTTGAACTCGACTTGGGGTTAAAGCGTTCGTGTGAACCCAGCCGGCAGATTTCCCCAACCGGCATCCCGTCCTAGGGAAGAAGGGGGGGGGGGGACACACGAAACGACCCTCCCCGAGCCCCCTCCCCCGCTGATTCCCCCGAAGAGGGACAGCCCACAAAGCCCATCGTCCCCTGCTGCGGCGGAGCGATGGGTCTCGCGGTCCGAGCCTTCCTCCCTGCGCCGCAGCGGACGGTCCCCGAGGCTCCCCCCCCCCCCCCGTTTCTCTTACCTCCGCAGGGCGGCGAGCCCAGCAGCCCCGCCAGCAGCAGCCACCGCAGCGCCCAGCGCATGGCGGGAGGATCTCCTCTGAGCATAGCAAAAGCGCTCCCGGTCCGGACCGGACGCCGGGCGAGGTAGCGGCCAGCCGGAGAGATGCGCGTCGCCGGGAGAAAAATCTGCAAGCGGCGCAGCGGCTCCTCCGCAAGCCCCACCGAGTCCGCTCCCGGCTTTGGCCCCGCCGCGCAGCTCCCGCGTCCGTCCCCGCGGCTGCCTCCAGCCAGACTAAACTCCGCCGCGCGGCTGGCCAGGTACGATGCGGCGCTGCGAATGTGGGGGGGCGGGGTCGTCAAGGCCACCCGGCCATCCGATTGGCTTTCCTCGGTCCGGCCGGCTCCCGGAGTGGCTGGAGGGGTTGACCCGGCCCCGATTGGGCGGCGCGCCAGTCGGTTGGATTGGGGAGGGGTCCCCGCCTCCGCCCCCCGCCCTCGGTGGGCGGGGCCAGGGGGTTCCGTTCTCACGACCCGCTGAACCCGCCTGGGGGGATTGAGGGGTTTTTTTGCCCTCCAGCTGGGAGGGATGCAAAAGGAGGGGCCTGGCCAAAGGAGTCAGGTGGACTCTGGGGAAGGGATGGGGGGGGGGGAGGGCTGCTGCCAGGGATGATGGTTGCCTTAGAATGACAACCCCAAGGCGGGTAGAAATACGAAGGGGAGGATGGGGGTCTTCAGCAGCCCGTTAGTGCCCTTGCTTGGCATCTCTGGACCAAACATTTGTTTCTTGCCTGCCTGCCTGCCTGCCTGCCTGCCTACCTACCTACCTACCTACCTACCTATCTTTCTATCTCTCTATCTTTCTATCTATTTATCTATCTTTCTATCTTTCATCTATCTATCCATTCATCTATCTATCTTTCATCTATCTATCCATTCATCTATCTATCTNGCTGAAGCAGACCCCAAGTCGGAATTTCAGCCCCCCTCCGACCCTCACAAAAAGACCCCGAAGGGGGAGACTCTCTGCAGCAACACAAGTGTTCATAGCCTGGGCCGTAGTTTGAGGACCCCGGATTTAATGCAATATAAAAAATGCAAATAAATTTTTCTGCAGGCCACCAAAATTTTCTTGCGGACCCCCAGTTAGGGACTGCTGATCTATTCAATTTGCAAAGGTGAGCATCAATTATATAACCTAGCAGTGCTTAAAATCCCACCTTGGATGACCAAAAAAAAACCCTCTTTGTTAAAAATATGCATTTCTTTTTGTCCCCAAACGGAGGCTCTCCCTTTCGGCTTTCTATTCTGACAATGCTCAGAGATAGTGGATCAAATTGCAACTCAATTTCTTTCTAAGTTCTTCTGTGCATCGCTGGCTTTTTTCCCAACCTCCGTCCCCCTTCAGAACTGGAGATTCAATTGGATTTTTTAAAAAAAGAGACGTATTTTGTGCTTTTATGATGCCTCCTCCCCCTGTACAAACTATTGTAACTCCATCCCGCCTCGCAGGGGTGCAGCCTCCTTGTTGGCTGGAGCCCTAAAGCATGCTGGGAGTTGTAGTCCGTATGTCTGCAAAAAAGCAAGCGACTCCATTTTCAGAGACTCAGAGGGCAAGAGGGACACCCCCGAGGTCATCTAATCCAACCCCCTCTGAACAAGGGGCTGCTGCCCAGTCTTTAAAAAAAAAAGTATTCTAAAATCATGAGTTGCACAAACATGAGCCTTGAATTCAAACTCAATGCGTTGTTCAGCAAATCCACAGTGGATCAAATACAGCTCAAGAGAGTTGGAAGGGACCTTTGTAGGTCATCTAGTCCAACCCCCTGCCCAAGCAGGAGACCCTACACTACTTCAGACAGAGGGCAGTCCAGTCTCTTTTCAAAAGCCTCCAGGGATGAAGATCCCACAACCTCTGAAGGCAACTTCTCTTCCATGCATGGATTGTTCTCCCTGTCAGGAAATCCCTCCTTATTTCCAGGTTGAATCTCTCCTTGGTCAGTTTCCATCCATTATTCCTTGTGTGGCCTTCAGGTGCCTTGGAGAATAGCTTCACTCCTTCCTCTCTGTGGCAGTCCCTTAAATATTGGAAGGCTGCTATCTCTGTCTCCCCTGGTCCTTCCCTTCCCTAGACTAGCCATGCCCAGTTCCTGCAACCCTTCTTCATATGTTTTAGTCTCCAGTCCGGTCATCATCCTGATTGCTCTTCTCTGCCCTCTTTCTAGAGTCTCAATATCCTTTATGTTGAATACTAGCGCGGGAAATACAAGCGCGGGAATAAAGGACTCCCTTCTGATTGGTTCC